CGGATTCACTTAGGGCCTACATTTCCTTACTTGAGGATAACCGTGTATGACATTGCTCAAAAACTACAAATTTTTGTGCTTCGTTCTTCATCCGTGTTAGGGATCGTGTTTGAGCGGCAGGCTAACGGATAAGTCACTGGAATTGAATTATTGGTATTATTTCTCGTACAACACTGCGTGCAGTACTTTCATTGATTTTTATTATAACTTCATTTTTCAGAAATTTTATCATTACCCCATTCCGGTATTAGAATAAGTTTATAATATTATTCGTGTTTTAACACTGCTTGAAAACTCCAAGTTTTTGTGTTTTACTCTTCATCCGTGTTAGAGATCGTGTTTGAGCGGCAGGCTAACGGAGAAAACACTGGAATTAAATACTTTCTATTATTTCTCATATAACACTGCGTGCAGTACTTTTACTGATCTTTATTATTACTTTGTCTTCTAGAAATTTAATTATATTTACCCATTTCGTTATTAGAATAAATTTATAATATTACTCGTGATTTCCAATTAACTTATAAGTTATTAAAGCAATAGTCAGCCATCATGCTCTCATTCCGTCTACCTTGATAATGTTCCTCTTTGTTTCTGAAATCTTGATGAAATCTTTCACCCATTTCTTCACTGAACGCCCCAACATTGTCCGGAAGTATTCCAAATGTGAAAACTAAAAGTGTATTTTCAGGCTCATCAAACACCCTAATTTTTGAAAATTCTGTAGCTTGATCGACAGAATAGTTTTGTATTTAGGGTCCCGGTGGTTTCCGAGAAAATTCTCGGTGACACTTTTGAAACTTATCCAAGCATTTCTCTAATTAGTCGTCATTGTCAAGAGGAATTCATCATCTTTTATAAGTGCTCGAATCTCTGGCCCTACAAATATGCCTTCCTTAATTTTCGCTTCAGACAATTTAGGAAATTTGCCCTGAAGATACTTGTAACATTCGCCTTCCTTATCTAGTGCCTTGACGAATTGCTTCATCAAGCCCAGTTTTATATGGCGTAGAGGTAACAAGATATGTTTAGTATCAACAAGGTTCTCATGGACGACATTGTGTGATCCAACAACCATTCCGATTCTTTTCGTGCATTCTTTCCGAACCCAATGCTTGGATATTGAAGGGATTGATATGTAGAGACATACGGTTATACGATAGCAGCTTGAAGTGCTGATTGAGGAAATTCTGGCAAAGGAGTCTGAGGTTGCAGACTTGCAGGGCTCGGGGGTTGAATATAATTTGGAGGCTTGAGGTATTCTGCGTAGCGAATTTCGGTATGAGGGTTGGGGGTTATAGCGTCGCGGACATAGGACTCGAGGGTTGAGGAAATTGGGGTGTGATGGTCGGGGGTTATAGCTTCGCAGGTTAAAGGCTCGAGGGTTGAGGAAATTGGGGTATGAGGGTCGGGGGTTATACCGCAGCAGGTTAAAGGGTTCGAAGGTTAAGGAAATTGGGGTGTGAGGGTCGGGGGTTATACCGCAGCAGGTTAAAGGGCTCGAGAGTTAAGGACTTTGGAGTATGTCGGTCAGGGGTTACAGCGTCGCAGGTTATGGGGCTCTAGGGTTAAGGGAATTGAGATTATAGAGTCATTCTGACGTTAAATTTGGATTCAGTGACCCAAAAAACATATAATTACACTATAACTCTTTATTCGGAAATTCGCCACTATTTCTTCCTATAACGAAATCGCTAAATCACTCAAATTCAATCTACGATATCTCGATGGAAAAAAAAGATTTTTTAAATCTGAAAAAAAAAATTTTAAAAGGTAAGAGTATTTCTTTGAGATAGCATTACTCGTTTTTTAAAATAAAATTGGCTTACGACGTAATACTACGAATAATATAGTGAAAAATCGTGTTTTTTGAACTTTTAGGTTAGTATTTTTCGAAACCCTAGGGTGATGGAGCAATTCTGTGGTCAGATTTGGTTTCAGCGCACCAATAACCTTTGGGAACGTACTGTCTAGTTCCTGGATTTTACCACTTTTTAAATTTTGTCGGCCTGTGTTATTGTTTTTCCTCTGTTCTCCTCTATCTTTCCGTTTAGGTATTCATAGTTTTCCTTCTTCTCGTGTTGCATATACACCGATGCCATCATGTATTTCCTCCCTCCGATCTTTATTTCTCCTACTATTACCTCACTTGTCCTTTCTTTCTTCCATTCAACCTTACTCATCCCTTTCCTCTCTCTAACCGCCATTATTCCTCCCCCTATTTCTCTCCCCCTTCTTCCTTCCCTTATTGAGTTTCTCCACTCTATGTTGTACCCTTTCAGTTGTTTTTCCACACCAGTTCTTGCCCCTTGCCTCTTCACCCAGGTTTCCGTTAGCCCTATTATGTCGAATTCCCTAACATATTCCCAGTCGTCTTCCTCCATACTTCTCATCCCCGCCACGTTCCAGAATAGTATCTTTATTGCCTTCCTTCCCTCTCTCTCCCTTTTATCCCTATTGTTTTCAAAACCCTTCCGCCCTTTTTCCTACCATTTTTCCCTCTTTCTCGCTTCACCACCATTCTTCTTCCTCTAACTTCACCCCGTTATGCCTCATCTTTACCTCTTTACCTTTACTTTTTATTTCTCTCGTTTTCCTTCTTACTTTCTCTCTTATCTTCCTCTGCTTCCACGTCCAGTCTTGATCTATGTATATCTTTTCCTGTCCCAGCTTCTTTTTCTTCTTCATAATTCCTTCTGTTTGTTCCCATGAAGCGCATCTAATTTGCCACATATTTTTTCCTCTTTCTCTCCGATTATCCCTCCCCGCTGTCCCTCCTATTCTTCTCAGATTCACTATCTCTCCTTTCATTTCTAGTTCCTCCCTTAACCAGTCCTCTGCCTCTCCCTTCCCATCTTTTCCCATCTTAACTCTTCCACTAAGTCTATCACTATTATATTGTTTATCCTACTTTCTCTATCCATTTTTTCTCTCATATACTCTAATTTTTCCTTATTGCCTATTTCTATTCGTCTTTGCTTCTTGTTTCCTCCTTATATACTTTATTTTAATTTCACGCACTCCTCTTCCAACTAGTTCATCCTCTCTCCCCATTTTTCCTGCAGTTTCTTTTCTCTACTTTCTGCTTTTTCCCTTTCTTCTATCGTCTCTTTCTTTCTTTCTTCTCTCTCTCTCTTGTTCTCTCCTAACTTTTCCTATTTCTTTCTCCCATCTTTCTTCTCTTCTTTTCCCCTCTGCCTCCATTCTTTCCATTTTTCCCATTATTTCTTTAAACATTTCTGTCCATTTTTTCCTTTCATCCTCCCATACCTCTCTTAAATCCCTTATATCTGCCCATATCTTTTCCATTATATCTTTTGCATCACTACTTTTTCCCACTTCTCTTATCGTGTTGTCCAATCCTTCTCCCCTTTCTCCTTCCATCTCGCTCCCCTCGCTTTCACTCTAGCATCTCTTTGCCTCTCTCATTTTTCCTCTATTATTCTCCCTCAGCCCCTATCCGCTCTCTCTCCCCCTCACCACCTTTACTCTTTTCTTCTTTTCCTCCTCTGGGCCTTTCTTATCCATCCTTCCACCTTTATCTCTTAATTTTTCTGTTGTCACAAATCTTTCCATCACTATCCCGTACGCCTTAATTCGACTCTCTAATTCTACTCGTGATCCCACCTTTATCCCCTGTCTTACCTTTTCTGTCTCCGCCTTTACTTCTTACCGCCCCTCCTCTCTACCTACCTTTCCGGCTTCCTGATTTTCTCTCTTAACCTCAACATTTCTTTTTTCTTTATTCCTCTCTCTCTGCTTTTTCCTGCTCTTCTCCAAGCCTCTCTCTCTCTCTACTCCACTCCTCTTCCGCCTCCACTCTCTTTTCACCTCTATTTCTCTCCTCAAACACTTTTCCTCTTTAACTTTCTCACCAAAACTCGCACTCACATCCAAGACACGTCCACACTCTTCCACCGGCATTCTTATTCCTCTAATTGTTATTTTATGTTTTATATACTTACAAAACAATACATTAATTTATCGATGAAAAATTTGTAGGGTATCACCAGCAACCATTTTACAACTGGTACACAGTTGAATAATTCTGACGTCAATTTTAGCATACTGGATATAGTGCGAATTCTGAAATAGACTCATCTGAGATAAAATTAGGCTTGGGGGGAAAAAGATAACAACATTTTTTTACACTTACTGATTTCAGCCTACTCGTTGTAAGGTGTTGTTTACAAGTACATTCAAATATGAATGTAACAGTTGAGTTCTTTTAACATTTTCAAAATTTTAAAATATTATATTATATAAAATTATTAATTTGTTATCTTACTTTTCCAGATTTTGCTGTCTGACAAACAAAAGGTGGCTAATTTTTCAGGAGTAACCGTAATTACATCATTTGACGATATAATTCAGATTTTACAATATTTAGAAGATCAATATTTATGTCTGGGCACTGGTATTTCGCAAAAAAGGTATTGTTATGAAAAAATAAACTATCAACTCTCGGTAAATGTAAAAACTATTTGGACAATAAAGAATATTTCTTTTTCTTTTTCCCAGCCGAGCTGACACTTGTTCCATTAGTGAGAACATCGGTGGAAGGTGTACATTTTGTTTGAGAGAAAAAATTAAATTAGAAAACAGTAAGTTATCTATTGAGAAGAAATATAGTGATTTATTGAAAAGCAACAGATCCTTGCAGAAAAAGTACGATTCTTGCATTAAAAAGGTAATGCTTTACTTAATTAATTTTTGCAAGTATTTAAATATGTCTATTTTAATTTATATATTTTATTTTGGTTTTTAGCTTGACGAGGCGAATTTGCTTTGTATTTTATTGGTAATTATAAGCACTTTTACTCGTTTTTTCATGCTGTCCGGTTTTTAACATTCTGGCGCCAGGTTTATTCTTTTTTTTAGTATTATATATAAAAAATCTGACCCTATTATAGGACCGTATTATATACTATAGGAGAAATATTCAAGGAAGCATTCGGCCAATCTCGTTGGCTACGTATTTTCTTAGTAATTTTCCTTACCTCGATTGGATCAGAGCATAAACAATTGGTCATCAAATACTTATATCCTTCTTCTTGGTTCAAGTAGTCAAGTAATTCCAAGGTTGCTTTGAGAGTGACAATAAATCCTGTATATGTGTTGTTAGTCAAAGGAAATTTGAAATTATTTTCGTGAGCTTTTGACTTCCACTCCTGTAGATATGTAATAAAGCTCACAATTGCCTAAAAATAAACATAAATAAGTGTCAAATTAATGTAAAACAAATAAAAAGTGAATATTAAATCATTAGCTATAATTTTTTTTATTATATTTGTATTATATTTTTACCTGCCGTCTGGAGCGATTTTCATTTATGCGCAAAGCATCACCTGATGTACGGGATCTCATTGCATCTATGACAGCTTTTACTTTTTTAATAAAAGCAATGGTCGGCCCTGCATCTTTCAATTTCTCATCATCTTTGTACATTTCCATAGCCACAGAAACTCTTGCGGAAAAGATCTGTCACATTTATCGTTTATTATTATTTTTATTTAAAAAAGAACTATAACAAAATTAATTTAGCGTAAATAATTATAATCAGTTTTTACCTGCATAGCCATGAGAACGTTCATCGTCATATAACCTTGAGGATTAAGATGATCTGGCGTCAAAAAGTAGGCAATTTTCAAGGTATACTGAAGAAATGATTCATGGTCTAAAACAGCTTGCCAATGAGCTTTTTTTACCCAGCCATCAGGAGTCTAAAAAAATACATACGCTTTCATTATAATTAGTTCAGGTATTAAAAGAAAAACAAATATAACATTGTTATAAACATTATGATAAAAATAAAATAAATTTAAAAATATTTACCCAAAACTCAAGCAGCTTCATAATAAGATTGCATAAGTTTTTCCATAGATGCGATGGATCTGAAATAAACCATAGTCTTCGTATGTGATTTATGGGATGTCTGTAGCTTACAATATTTTCGTCAATACCCTTACTGGTCCATATTTTTCGATTGACGTTTGCAGCATCCATTCCAATCGCATCTACTGTCAAACCTGTTTTCGCGACACGTGCTATAGCCTCTACTAGTAAATTATCTAATATGTCACTAGTAGTCTTGCTTGCGGCAAAAGCTCCTATTGGCTGTAACATAACATTTCATTTATTTGAATTGCAGACGAAACAGATGATAAAACGTTTATGAAAATTCCAATTTCTCTTACCTGCATCCACGATCCAATAAAGGGCTTGAACACTAAACAAAGGGTTTTGTTAGTTTGCGTGTTCTGTAAGCTATGAGGTGTCCAGAGTCCGTAGTCGATATATCCTCGTACTAGCCAATTTTTATCAAGGGCAATAATTTCACTAAGAGCTATTTCGTCTGCCAATATAATCACTAAAAACAAAATGAATATGTTAATATAATATAAAAAGGTATATATAAAAAGGTATATATAGGATATACAGGGTGTTTCAGACCACCCGCCCACCCCCCAAAGTATGCCGAAAAAGTATTTTTTTTCAAAAATTGATAACGCAATTATATATAAATCGAGTACGCTCTATCGATTGGACGTAAAATCAACTTCCGGTTCCAACCGGAAATGGCCTATTCAGACCGGAAGTGCATGAAAATCCATTTTTTTAAATGGAACATGCATACTTTTTTTTCAGATTCAGATTCTACGGTAAAAAATACGAAAATTTCATAAGAAGAATTTTTTGAAAAAAGTTGATATTTGACCTCAAATTGACGTCTGAAGTCTGTAATCCACCAGTTCGTACTCAAGCTACGAATATGCACGCTTTAACAATGGAATAGGATAATGTGGCTCCTCTAAGAGGTTTTCGGGGTCGCTGAGTCCGAATCCAAGGTGAGTTTGATCTTATCAGGCCATTTTGAGGTCAATTCAAGGTCATTTAGAGGTAAAACAAAAAAAAATATTAGATTTATCAAGAATGAAGTACTTTTAAAATTTTAGCCTTAATATTACAAAAATATGAATCTCGTCGTTTTTTCATTTATTCTTGTTATTATTAATCTATGTATTTACATAGCGTACTTTTATGAAATTAGGGGAAATGAAATTCCAAAACAAATTAGTTTAGCGAGATAAAAATCTTTATTCTCAAAACATAATAGATTTCGTTGCAGTAGAAACATTTGTTTATAATAACATAAATAATGATAATTTGTTTTATTAGAACCTAACATAATGAAAATTTTTATAACATAATTAGATTTTATCTTCTATTGTCCTGTAAATAAAATTTGTTTATGAATAACGCTGAAATAACTGTGCGAAAATAGACGGTGAAGATTTGACAAAAACTTTAATGTTCAAAATGCGCTCCGCCTTGAAAAATACATGCTTGAACTCTTCTTTGGAAATTATCAACAGCTCTTCTAATTTCTGCTGCCTGCAGCGACCGAATTGCATCCGTGATTCTGCCAATCATATTGGCTCTCGTTGTCGGACGTTCTTGGTAAACTATATCCTTTACTCTTCCCCACAAATAGTAATCCAGGATAGTTAGATCTGGGGATCGAGGTGGATAATTGACAGGACCAAAGCTTCCAATCCACCTATTGGGGAACATACGATTCAAACTATTTCGGCAGATATGTGCCGTATGTGCAGGACATGCATCTTGCTGAAACCACATGTCACGCCGTAACTGCAGCGGGAGGTTTTCCGGATATTTTGTGATGACTAATAACGACAATTCCACCTATTAACTTCAGAATCACTCTTGAAGGTACATTCATTCGAAAATAGAACAGATCTGTGAACTCATCTCTTTGGCGGATTGACCAGTTGCAAAACTCAAGTCGTTGGCGAAAATTTTCAAAGCTGCTTTTTAAGACCTATCTTGTATAACGCGATCGCAGAGTTTGAAATACATAACATTCGATGAAGTATGCTGATTTTTTAATGCCTACGTAATTTATTATCATATTTAATACATGCAGTTGCTTAACTCAATCTCAGCGTGGGTTTACGACTACGTCTCATCAGGTAGGTCAATAACCAAGAATTTAGACCATATTTACGGGGTTGTTGATACCAACGAAAGGGTAATTTCCGATGTGTCGGGCTGGGTTACCCGTGAAATTATTAAAAAAAATCCTTGTGAAGCTGCAATTTGCAATTAGAGGCATTTTCGAGTACATCGCCACGTCATCAACTCACTAACGCTCGAGAAATTTTTGGCGGTTTGGTTCAGGCAAGCGACAATATATTTGAATTGATAAAAATGCTGGAAAACGCTATTACTTTTATACTCATTCAAAACAACGAGATGCGTAAAAATGTAATGTCTCTGATTGTGCAGCACATACAGGCAGTAAACTTGTTAATTCTTGTAGGCTGCGAATCACACGTAAAAAATTTAACCTTTAAGTTTATTATTTATTATTTAGAAAGGCGAGCAAAGATGGCGTGCAACCGGCACAATGTCATTCACAGCGAGCGTAAAAAAAAGTAAAGCTTTAAGAAAGCAAGTAAACCTGGTGCCTTGTAAGTAATAATTAAAACTTGTAAATACATACGTATAATTGTAAGAATATATATTAAGTTATTATGTAAATTAAACTGTATATATGTTGAATATACACGATTGAATATATTATACTATTATACATTGTATTTTACTTAATTAATTATTTTACACATGTTTATGTATGATTTTACGTAAATAAATTTACTTATTATATATGTTCTTAATCTATTTATTACATCAATCATATCTATATGAAATTATTTTTTCTGTAGTATAAAATGCAATTATATAAATATTAAAAAAGCGAACTTTTCCTTAGCCCATGACGCTAAAATAACAATCATGAATTCATTTCATAACTTAAATAAAAATCACATTTTCATAGATCTATCCAGAGCTCATGTTTAAGTTAATTTTAAAGTACGATATTCGTTGTAACACTCGTTACATCGTAAACATAAAAATAAGTCATATTGTGTTATGTAGGTATATATGTATTCTGATCGATAATATCGATCGTGCATATCGACTACCGTCGGTAACATTATTTGCGGCTCCACCGGAAGATGGCACCCATGTTCGATCGTTACACGATGAGTATTTTGGGCACTTTCTAACGCCGACGGCTTATACATTGTGCTTCCACTCCTGTATATAGTTTCCATGCTCGTACAGCTCTTTTTATATACTGGGGATGGCTGGGTGGTGAGTCCCTCTCTTAGCGTCTTGGTTTCGGGAGAAGTGGAGCAAGCGATGATGCGTTCATTGGCTCGTTTGTCTCTTCTCATTTTCCTCACTGGATTTTCGGGCCCTAATTGGAGCGGGGGCGTGGAGAAAATCGGGGGAGCGGACGCAAAGGTACAGGCCTTGGCTCGCGAGATGGCTCCTCGAGTACCGTTCTCAACCAAGATATATCCAAAAGCGGGTTTACAATAACTTAAAAATTATTTTTTGTATAAACTCGATAACTTACAAGTTACTTAGTGCTAGGGACAATATTGTAGGGTTTTTCCGCAATTACAGTTGATTATAATTTGTATTGAAAATAAGTAATAAAGTATAATCTTATTATTTCGCACGCTGTATTGTACAGATTTATGAGTGGTTTATTAAATTCTTCACTAATTATGCAATTCTATTTAAGTTTTAATCGGAGTATTAATACAAGAAAAAAAACTTATGTAACTTAATAAGGCGATTATTTCCTAATTTCTTACAATAAAAATTTGTTTAACAACATAGTGCGCATATATAATTTTTTTGGATTTTCTCTGTTTTTCTTATTTTCTAGCTAATCCGTACTTCAGAGTGAGAACTCAATGAGAGGTTTGAGAAGTCACAATTATCTAGGATGTATTGCGAAAGATAAATAATTACGTTTGGATCATTTTAAATTTTATTTCATCTCAATGGTAAATTTTCGAGCATCTTAAAAGGAGGAAAAATCCTTTGGGAAAAGTAGCATACAGGATGCAGTCGGGGTTTTACGACTCTCTCCTCTCATCGACATGTTGACGCCTGTTAAACACATGCAAGGGGGCTACGCGCTCTTTGCACGCGTGAGAGACGCTGGCTTGGATGCAGTACGAATTTTATTGCTTTTCGAGGGAAATTCTTATCGCGCCCCCCTCGCTATTGAGCAACTGTTCTTGTTTCGCGCTTGTCTTAGATACTATACAAAAAAAATATTCTTATAGAAATTAAAATTTAAAAATGGCCCGCCGTCACACTATTAAAAAAAATTCGTTATTCTATTAAAAAAAAAATCCGTTATAAATAAAAACATTTGTTTTTGTTTCCCTCCCTAATAAGTTAAAAAAGTCCTAAAAAAGTCGTAGAAACAAACACAAACCTTTTCGTTAACCAAATCTGGGACATAAGAAGAAGAATAATGATGTTTTTTTAGAATATTATTTTATAAGTTATTTATTTACCCAATACTCCGTCGGAAATAACTTTGGGAATGGCCACCGTGCCGGCTATCCCAGTTGAAGTCATACAATGAAGCTCTTCCTTCTTGATTAATAACTTCATTAATTTATTGATCATCTTTTAGTTGTTATATTTATATTTCGCGGTTGTGTTGTCCAATTCAATTTGGACAACATAAACCGCGCAACCATCGCAAAGCCGTACCTATAACAATAATAAATAATACATTCTGTTACAATATAGTACATACTATTCTATCAATATCA